CACTGTCGAACGACACTGGTTATTGGCCAGCCTTGTGGGACCCAGTGCATTAAACACACGTCTGTCATCATCAAGCAGAACACGTTTTGAGACCCACCTAAACATGCAAGCTCATTTTTGCTTGGCGGCAAACGTACGATGGTGGAGAGAAAAAGGGTGGTCAGTCGCTAGTCCTGAACTTGCTAGTCTGCAGAAAAGTGGTGGAAAGAACTTAAAACCGGTTACAGTAAGGTGCCTAATACCCGTCGTACGTGCAGTCGAACAGCAGCCACCCGATTTCGCACTGACATAAATCACCCACTACCGTGTCTTTGCGGCGGGTTGAACGGAAGAAGACTGCAGTAAGATGACGGAGAAAGCTCTTCACTAAGGTATTTTGTAAATCAGAATTATTTCAATCGTACTTTTGATAAAAGGACTATAATTTCTGACGAAATCATAACCTTATCCTAATTTGATTTTCATATGCGTTCAATAGATCCGAAACTATGCACTTCTAAAGCACCCAGTCTTTTGCTGCGGTGGCTGGGGCGATCCGCAGTGAAGATTCCACTATCTGGTTGGAATTTCTCCGTCATCTAATCAATACTAATTCCCATCGAATGTCATATCTACGGATTTTTGCTAATATTTCGTGACTTTAAAGCAAGTCACCTGTAGGCCGTCCCAGACAGACACATGCGGAGTAACACTTTGCTATATGTAAAGCGGTCGAGCAAGTCGGTGTATGCTCTGTCACTGAACCGGAGCATACTGGGTCACAACGTTGGCATCCTCATGGGAATGTTCATCACACCTACACATTAAAGCTCGACCTCCTATTTCACAAATCTCTAGCCCGTGGGCCTATTTCAAGCATGTCATTGCGCATCTAACGTGAGCCTGCTTCGTTTAACCATTTTTGGTGGAACACTCTGTGTTTTATATTCAGTGAAGCATTTTCATTCGATATTGGTATCCGAAACCGATATCGACACCAGGTTTACCGATGCCAACTGAATGACTGGAAACAGACCATTTCTAAGCCGGGACTAGCGATGTCTTCCCTCGTATTTGTGACGGGGATTGGGACATTTTTTGTCAGCCACTACGACGCAGTAGCTGTACGCCTGCCTAACTGGTTTGCTACTGGGTGTCCTACGACCATTTCTTACTCGAAATCTATTTCAAAAGAAGTGACACCACTCTCACTTGTTTTTAGCCCCACCGCAACTCAGCTAGAGTTCCGAGGGCGTATTGAAAGGCCGCCTTAGCTTAGCTCTTGTTAGCCTCTAGATAACGTCTGCACTGACTATCATGGTGGGCGTTTTTTTCTGCGAACGTGTCTTTGTTGCCGCTTGTAAAGCAGACACCTCTTCGGAATCACTGACACAGTATCTCAGCTCAGCTTCAGTCCGACTGGCACTTTGAGCCTACCCCGCATCTGGTGTCTCGATGGGACCGATAAGTAATCGGGGCTTACCGAGGGAAGAAGAAGGAGTTGAATCACCAGTCCTGCAATCAACGCGGCCGGCGCCTCAAGCTGTGCCTTAAAACACTGGGGCTCCGTGACGCAGCCGACTGACACGGCAATGAGGCAGGCCACAAAGTAAACGAACCAATCAAATATCGTGTAGTAAACCTGCTCCTTCAGCAGAACCGTGATCCTGGTGACATTAGTCCACTCGGCGGTAGCGTTGTACGCAAACGACCCATTGTCATCGACCTCAACTAGCGAGTACACCTTCACCATTGCGGGAGCAATATGAAGGGTTGATAGATGCTGATTCACTGGCGGTTCATTACGCCGTTTGAGGGAGAAGCTCGGAGCCGCTGAGAGGGAGGTCAGTGAGGGAACGTCTTCTGGCAGGTTCCCCTTAACACCGCTGCCAGCTTGCGTACCGTTGACCCAAAGCAGGTCCACTCTTATATCACTGCGTCCCAGAGTGTTGGCATCAATCCAGAAGCGTGAAGACTGACTCTGGGTGGCATTTTTGTCCGCCTTAGGCACCTCCAGGAAGATAATGGCGCATTTGGGCTCAGACCTACAAGCCGGATGGTTTATAGACATGTCGCCGGCGTTTTCGTAGCGTTGGCGAACACTGGGCTCAACACCCGGTCGCCGACTGGGCATGACAGTTTTCCGATTGTTTGAAATAATCCGCAGGACAAGTGCACCGCTTGGGACGCCAATGGTTGATCTATTTTCTCTTGCATAGAAGATATCAGCAGCCCTTCGTCGTATTTCTTCTGCTCGCATGCAACAAGGACAGTTGATAGTGAAGGTGAGTATTTCACCAGTGTAGATCACCGGTTCCTGGGGTAGGCTGACCATAGGTTGAACGGACTTGTAGTAGGGTTGCCGAATAACGTTGCGTCTGTCCACTTTTGCCTCAAGGTAGAGACGACAGTCCTGGTACTCTGAATCTGACCGAACCGCCGGCATCTGTATGATTACGATGGGCGGGAAAAGGAAGAGGAGGGAAGCAAGTTGATTGAACATTCTGGTGACGAAGGTCTCTGCGGTCGTCTTCAGATTGTTTGAGCTATTGCGTCATCAGATCTTGCCCGCTCACTGTTGTGTAAGCTATCCGTCCTCGCGATCGCACGCCTCCTTCGCGCAAATATGCGATTTGCATGACGTAGCGCCGCGATTCCGCCGAAAGGAAGCGAAAGCTCGCCGTCAACCAATTGGCAAACGAGCCTGGTCGCATTGCCCAATCAGGCGCGTCCGGCCGTGTGCCGCTCTCCAACTGGCCCTTGCGTCTTCCTCCTCCACTTAGCCGCAGAAGTCGGAATCTGGGTCGTGGTTTTCGCATTCCTTCGTTTCGGGGGTCTGGGCACGTTTTTCTTTATCGCGACATCCCTCACGTTAACGAGTCGCACGTGCACTTTTCTGCATGACTGCCCTCTTCCTGCAGAAAGCGTACTTTGTGGGGTTTTGTCGTATACGTCCAGTTGGGAATTATCACATTGATACAGTAAGCCCTCGGTTAAGCGCGGGTTCTTTTTAATTTCCGATTTGGGTGATTGCGCAGAAAGTGGACTGGGAAATCGAGTCCAACATTTATTGGCTGAACAGGCATGTGTTGGCGTGTTCCTGCTGCACCCTCCGGATACTGACAAAAACCCATTTTAAGTTCTCACTAGAAAGTTAATACATCATTATTGTAGTTTGATGAGACTTGCACGTGTGAATGATGGAGTACTCCACTCATACAGTGCGTGGCCGATCTCATGAAATGTCGGTCGGAATTCTGGAATGCGTTTCCGATTAGGAAGGATGACTGAAGTGGGATTGTTTTACTGATTATCATGCAGCATGACCCTATGACATTTCGGATTCGCAGGGATGTCGGCTTTTGAATGCACTTCTTTTTGACCTCCAACAGAAACTACACTCGGTAAAAAATGACTACTTATGTGACATGCATTTTTCCTATTGATTTTCGACGGTCTTATAAATTTAACTATACATTTTGGAAAACATGCACAAAAATATGCCTTATTTTGCTCCTTTGGTGGGAACTCACATTTTCTTCGTATTTTATGCCCGAAGAAAGTATTTATTTTTGTTTTAAAAAAGTTTCCCAATTCCCGAATAATTTCCAGCCTGATCTCCCATTGCATCAGCGCTTAGCAATTTCAGTCTACAAGGTGCATGCTTTCCGCGTAAGGAAAATCATATATTCCTCTATGCCCTTAAGAAGGTACTACATAGGGTTCATGAAATTTTGCAATGGATCCGAACTGTGTTGTACATTTCATGAGGAGCATTAGTAAACGGACATGTGCATGGACATCACGCGGTCTTAAAAATCTCATAATTAGAAACTTCTTAAACCAAAATATAGGCTTTCTTCGGGTATAAAATATGAAAACAGTGTGATTTCCTACCAAATGAGGAAAAAAAGCATATTTTGTTCATGTTTTCTGTTGAAGATATTTGAATTTATAAGACCATCAAAAATCAATAAGAAAAATGCATGCTACTTAAGCTGTCATTTTTCACCGAGTGTGGTGTCTGCATGAGATCAGAATAAAGTGCATTCAAAAGCTGACATCCTGGCGAGTCCGAAATTTAATAGGGTTATGCCGCATGATAATCAATATAACAACCCCACTTGGATAATCCTTCCTAATCGGAAACGCATTCCGGAATTTTGGCCAACATTTCATGAGATCGGTCACGCACTGTAAAAGAGACCGTTCGGCACGGGTCTTGCAAATGGAAAGTGGGCAGTGAACGATTCTTCTGCATGAGCTAGTGACAGCTGGATCCTCGCCATCGTGCGCCTTGGTGGTCTCTGGCTCGGTGACTTGCCCATGGATGGGTTTATAGTGATAGTATACTTTCGCGGCATCGACTGCACTCCTCCCTCAACCTCCTAGACCCAATGTCGACAGACAGTTAAGAGGACGAGAGACAGGGTAGGGCGTTTTGATTGGCAAAACTAGCCAGCCCATTTACGCGGGTCGCATGCCAGGTCAACGCACGGTGGATCAGGTTTTCAAGCGAACAAGAAGTGCTCGCCTCAGAACCCATCTGAGGGGAGTGTCATTACCTATTTTGTTGTGGGGGCTATTGCCCTTACGAGCTTCTACGCCGGCATTTTCATTGTGTCGCGTTGCACGTTTGTCTCTTGGTCCGATTTAGTCATCTATCCTCCTGGGGTGGGGTCACATGACTGCGTTCTGTGCGCCGATTTTTTGGGGGCACAGACGTTCCTTTGCGAACTTCTGCCTGCAAGCATATTTCATGCTCCATTTTAGATGTCGAAGGACGCACACAAAGGGCTTTTCAGGGTTCTATTTAAATCATCGGAACTGTGTTCTTTTAGCGTATCTGGAGTTATATCGCAAAACAAACTTCAGCACAAAAGAATGGCCTTTATTCTGCAGTATCAGAAGTAATGAGCAACCATGTAACAACACCGAAATGTGAATGGCACCAATCCTTGTTCCTATTAACTCATTCTCATACTCCATTTTTCCAACCAGCTCTACGACTCAACCGACCAATGTTCGCTTCCCACCCTCAGCCGGCAGCGGAGCCAAAAACCGACCACTTTGCCGGCTGGTTGGCCGAGTCGCAGCTTGACCTCCAGTACACCCTTCAGGGCCGTCAGCCCGACTCCAGCAGTTTGGCCATCGGCGGCGCCTGCGATGTCCTCAGTTTGCCGCAGTCATTTGGGTAAGTAGGCACTGGAATCTAGCCCATCAGAGTGCAAGCTTGTTTCTCACTGCTGCCGGGTCGATCAGAAATCGACGACCTGTCGAGTAAGCCCCATCAGACCGCACCACTTCCGTTCTCACTGATTTACTCCCCCCCCCCCCTCTCCTCCCCCACAACGATGAAATTTTTCGCCGGCCATTTTCTCCATCGAATACCCACTTAACCGTTTCTAGACTCGCATTCAAATGTGCAAGTCCAGAAATACATCTCAGTCGATTTTTCGATTGGTTATTCTATAGGCCAATCGAAAAGTGTATTAAAAATGAACCCTGTTCCTCATTCTGCGGTTTTCATTTCCCCCTTGTTGTCTCCCACTGCTGTTTGGTCGATCCAAAGTTGGCGACCTGTCCGGTAAGCCCTTGAGCCTCACCACCTCCGTCCCCCTCGGTTTTCCTCTACAACGCCGCCCTTCACAAAGAGAACCAAGTTACTCAGGTGTGCAAACTCGTAAACATCCTACTCGATTTTTTATCTGACCAGTTTCTAACCAGCAAATGTTAAGGGGAATCGCGGAATGAATTAAAAGTCATCCCGGGGTCCCAGTTGTCACTGTCTGCTGTTTTCTCCGTCACGGGCAAATTTTGTGCTTCTATCAGGTCCTAAACCGGTTATAACAACCTTTTTCTGGAAGGAGCTATTTGCTCTGCAAGCCTCATTCTTTGGTTTCCCATTGACCGTCAGTAAACATCCCGTTTGTAATTATCTTTTGTGTGGCTGTGTAGAATGCGGTGAGGGGGGGGGGTGGATGCATGTCTTCAAAGCATTCCGAAGATGTCGGGCTTTTGTGAACTTCCAGGCTTAAAAATTGCACAGTTCCGGTCTTTTAATGCTGACTAGTCTGTCCTACACAGCATTGCCTGCAAACTCTTTTGAGGAGCTGATTTAAGCGGTTGGCAGTAAATTCCAATAATTCTCTTGAAATTATGACAATATCCTTGCCATCCGTGTGTTGTAAAAAGTGGAATGATTTTTCTTTTTGATTTTACTATAGCCATTCTTTTTAGGAAGGATGCCCTACGAGCATTCGTGTATTGTAAAAAAAAATTAAAATACAAGCAAAAATTTCAGCTGAACACTGAGTATTAAAAGCTGTAAGTGTAGATAAGACGCAGGGCGGTCGGCTAGCGAATCAGTTGAGCAATTATACCGCGCAGACTTCCGGCGGAGTATGGCAGAAAGTGCCTGGGACCGGCCAAGGAAACTACACGATCCTTAAATCAGGATGGAGCCGTTACGTGTGTGCTACCCTGTAAGCGACGAGGACCGCTTTTGTCTGCTGACTTACGCGTCATACGATTTACCATTAAAAAACCTTCCGCAACATTCTTCATCTACACGGGCCGCTCATGAGCCTGCCCCCGGTCATATGTGAAACCTGGGGGTGCTGCGGGGGGATTTTTTGCGTTCGCAAGCCAATGTCGGTCTGGCGACGGCATCTTTTTCTTCCCCTCCCCCCACCTAAAAGGGGCGAGCTTCGCACATCGAGCTCGAGAACGGGTCGCGGCTTTGGTGCAGAGTTGGCAGATTTCGCGAATTAGACTGGGTCTCCTACGAGATTACATGTCGCTTTCGCTGCAGAATTCTTCAGTAATAAAGGTAGAACTGGACTGGTGTTATGGAATGACTGACTAGCGAGTATAACTTGCTCTTTACAATCGCATCTGGATCAAGCTTCATCATCGGGTCGAGGCAAATGGTTATGTGATTGGATGTGGTTACTGACTTTGTTCAGAGAACAAACGCAGACATTGCCGCAGCAAATTAGAGAGCGAAAAAATGAATTTGACTTCGAAATATATGTAACTAGTTAAGGGGTTTTGATAAAAAGGTATATGAGCTGCTTGCTGGCCAATTCTCACGTAGATATTCAACCGGACGATATCAATCGAAATATTAGGCAAAGTTCCTACTCCCCCCCCCCCCCCAATGAACATCTTGAAGTACTTTTCGGTTGTAAAAAATCGGAATCCATAGTAACGGTAGAGGCTATAATCTCTTCCTCAGACTTAACGGTCACCAAACAGTCGGGGTCACCCAGGCGTGGGATTGACTTGTCCGACTGACGATGACTACTATGCCGAAACTAGCCGTTGCAGTCTGCCTCACCTTTCCCTGTGTCTCTTTTGCATCATGGCCATACTTCTACGGCCTGCGATGTTTCGCGTTTTGCCAGTGAGCTGGTTTCTTCATTTTGCCTCCTCCCAAACTGTATTGCGCAATTCGGTTTCCACACACAATTCGCCTCCCCCCGCATGCTGTTTTTCGGTTTAAATGCATCCTTATGCACCCTTTTTATCAGTCACTCAATCTTGGCGATGATGGAAACCACAAGCTCTTCCCGCATTAACCCTCTCCTCCCCCCCCCCCCCCGAGGCGCGCCCAGTACTCGCCGGCACAGTGTTGGCGACAGGCGTTTAGGTCTGAGCATTTGTCCCGCTCCGAAGCTCTATCACAGGCAGGGAGCCTAATGTATGCCAGAATGTCGGCTTTTAGTTGAGTGTCCGGAGACGCAGAAGGTCTGACATATTGTTTGCTGAAGTAGGCTTTTACTAGACCCCACTATTTTTAGCAACAGTTGAAACGCTTCTTTCTCTGCTTGTCGGCATTTTGTCCATTATGGGTATGGTCAGACGAAGTCGAGCACCACTGCACGTAAATATTTTGGTCCTCGTGGATGGTACGTCGTTTTCTTTGCCTCCACCGACTGGCTAGTAGAGATGAGCCGAAATGTTTTCTCTCCTCCCCCATGTGCATGCTTCTAGTGTGACAACTGTACACCACTATGGTCTACTGACTGGGCAGATCCTTTCGCTGTAGCGGGGTCTGGGCCTCCCTCCTGCTTAAGACTGCGTGCTGTCCCCCCCCCCCGACAGTAGCCTTTCATGTTTACTTCTTTCACGGTTAACTCCGACGCCCCCTCCTTCAAAGTGGTCCTTAGAGTCGCTGAATTTTACGATCATCAGGCATGACGGTTTCATGGCAAAAAGTTTGCCTCATTTCATTTGTAGGAAGTCCCACTTGATTTATGTGGCATGGTTGGCTAAGTAAAACAATTTTAGTTAACATACCTAACTGAGACACCCGCTGTATTAGGAAGGGAAGAAGAGCGCAAACAGAGCTCGAAGCACGCGCAGAGAAGCAAATGAAGTCGGCGTGTACACACTCCCCCCCCCCGCGACACAGGCACTCGCAGGATTGAGAGGATAAGGAGGGCGAGCAATCACAACTGGAAGGCCACGGAGGGAGCCGCGTGTTTGTCCGCAGTGCATGGCCACTATAGTGGGGGCGACGGAGTTCCACTCCGTCCGAACAGTTCCATCAGCAAACCTACTCATCCACTCACTGGATTGAGATGATAAATAGAGCGCAAGCAGGCCTCGAAGCACGCGCAGGGAAGCGCGTGTGAACTGATGCCTCATGTTACCCAGGCTGGCGTATAAACACTCCCTCCCCCGGGGCACAGACACTCGCCGAATTAAAACAGTAAGGAAGGCGTAAACACGAGATACAAGTAAAGTCAACATAATCTCACGTACTAAAATTGTTTTAGGAAGCTAACCATATGACGTCAATCAAGTGAGGTTGCAGGACAAAACCCCGCCCCTTCGTATTCTACAGTCCATCCGCCAACTTTCCTACATGAAACGATGCCTTAGCAATCATGATTGGAAAGTTTGCTAACTGCCAATAAAAACGAAGAGACGAGTCCCAGGAAGCAGTCTCGAAGAAGCAGAAACGATCGCTGGTACAAGAGCTTTATTAGCCTGACGTTTCGGATTCCTGCCCGAACATATCATCAGAGACAAAACTAGATACCAGTTTGCCAACTGGCGAGACGATTCGGTTTTTGAGACGGAGAGCGGGATCGTGGTGGCCGTTATAAGAGCGCTCGGAATACGCGAGGCCTAGTCAAGGTGGGGTTAGGGACGACTGTGTGTGCTGCGACTTTGGAAGTGGTGGAGTTTCCGATATATGGTATCAATCAAGTGGGACTGCAGGATCAAACCTCGCCCACGTTTTTATTGCCGACTGGAATCAAACGAAAAGCATTCCGATCACCCGCCCTTCCAACGCGCATTTCGAACCACGGTCGAACTCGTGAGACGGCTCTCAGTGCACCTTGGCAACGATCACCCAGGGGGCACTTTATCCACCCCCCCCCCCTTTGTCCAAATCGACGAGGATCACCACTGCCTAGGGCGGTAGCAGTGTCTTGCATTTGATTTGGATTAAATGATGGCGAAGACTTGTGTAACCTCTAGCTGCGTAGTTCGCCAGTCCCAAGTGATGAGGTGCACCACAAGGTGGTCACACCAGCGACATGCACGTGAGTGCTTATAGTGAAGCCGCATCCACCTGCCTTCATTCTTTTGCACGCCTATCACCTCCTGACAGCAAGGTAAGGAAGCCAAGACAATCAGAAAGGTTTATAGGCGCACTGACTGGCATGGGTAAGCAGCTTGTCTGCGTGTGCCGCGCAGGAGTGGGAATGCGGGGGGGGGTGTCTCGCATCTCACACGAGTGGCGGAGGTACCAAAAAGGTCACTTAGGGAAGGAGTCATTGCGGACTGTCTCACGTCCTGAGGGAGGGAGGGCGAATTGTTCCTTCAGTTGTCAACCTTTCACGCCTGGTCTGTCGTGCCTGGTAGTGAATAGTGCGCTGAACTGTCGTTTACAAACGATTCCCAGGAACTGGCTTACCAATTTCCCTTCTCCCATATATCAGCGGCCCGTACGGTGACAAAGCGACTGGAATTAGCCTACGGCACTTAAACTGCTCCTTCACCTGCTGTGTAGAACTGTTAGGCCTGTGAGTTCAGTGGCTATGATTGACAATGTATAAAGCTCCTGTCTGACAGTTGGACTGTCCGTTGCCGACGCTGTCCACCGTGTGCTCCACAGCAGGTGGAGAGCAGGGACAGCGACTTGAGTGTGAATTGGTTTATAGTGACAGTAGACTCGCGCAGCATCTACCGCACTCTCCCCTCCTTACCCACCTAGGCCCGATGTTAAGACAAAGTCGAGAAGACCGAAGGCGAGAGAGGGCGCAGGTGGCTGGCACGGCGTAAACCTGCACCAAGGCGTATCACCGCACCCTCTGGTCCACAACCAATACTTGACCAGGATTTCACACCCAAAAAGAGAAGAGTGAGGTGGCTCGGATCCCACGGAGTGAGATTGCCGTGGGGGCCAGATTGTGAAGGAGCCATTGCAGCCTGACCGACAGTCCACCAGTTCGCCATTCCTTACGAACACTCTCTGGACTGACTGCGATGTCCAAGTTATGCCGTCAGTTGCTGCCTACCAAGACACGGTTTTTAGCGCACAGTGGTAGGCGTGTCGGATTGTTTATAGTGAGGAAAATGCGCTGCGTCTTCGACCTCACTCTCAGGCCCCAGGAGACACACGGAAAAAGGAACCAAAAAGCACACTTTCCACTTACGTGTGAGGTGCCGTTGTTGTGGGATTTTGGAGGGGGGTGTGTGTTGATGGGTGTGAATATGTAGTACTGTGGTCGTGTCTACGGTGATTTACCGTGGGCTTTTATGAATGCGCATGCGACCCATGCGAGGTCCCATGCGGTTGCTGCATTCGCGAGGGCAAGGCGGACAGTTGAGGCGACTGTGTCTGATCCCTGTTGGTGCTGTCTTTCCTTATTCCCTGGCCCCAGCCACTATCGGAGCCGGTCGGTCGTCTGGTGCTGGGAATGGGCGCAGTGGTTGGCATAGGCAGTGGCCTCGTCTGCGCGTTCCACGTACACGACCCCTTCCCGGCCGAGGAGCACAATTCTCACTCACGTGAGAGGTGCCAATAACGTGCTTACGCTGTGTGATGTTGGGTGTGTGGAAATGTGTGATGTAGGTGCTGATAAGGAGAGATGTGAGATGGTACGGTGTAGCCGGCGGTGTTTTGCCGCAGGTCTTCATGGAGGCGCATGTGGCCCACCAGACCCATGCGACGAGTGAGTGTGTGTGCGCAGTTGAGGTGACGGCGACTGAACCAGGCTTCATATGCACGCGTAAGGCAAACCTCAGCGGCGGCTCCATCTGGTTTAGCCCGCCAGTTGAAGGGATGATCAAGGTGTGGCCGCTGCGCACAGTGCATCTTCGTGGCGCCACAGATGTAAGCTGAATGCCAGATTGGAGGAAACAGGACAATCACAGCACGCATTAGCTTTCGTGGAGTGAGCCATCATTCCTGTGAGTTGCTCTCGCAGTCTAGACATTCCCTGCATCCGAACGTTGAGCACATTTTCCGCGGGCGGTACAAGTACAAGCCGACCGACAATCTGTGCGATGTGCGCGTAACGCTCCGTTCTGCACGCAGTCTGGTCTCATCGCACCCCTAAAGCGGACTTCGTTTACTCGGACTTGAGACTGTTCGCAAAGGTTGACCTGTCGTCATAGGGCTTCTGCAGAACACCTACCACATTATCTACTTGATTACCGTTTTGGCTACCCGACGACACTATCGCCGGCAAAAGAACGGGCCAGCAGATGCCAGCGAATATGCGAGTTCCAGAAACTAGTTGATAAGAAGCAGAAGCGATCTCTGGAACAAGGGCTTTATTCGCCTGACGTTTCGGACTCACGCTCAAACCCATCATCAGAGGCAATGACAGATATGGGCTAGCGTACCTACCACGTGGCCCGTCTTGGGGCGTAGAAAGTATTCACGGCAAATGCATAGCGGAGAAATTCCGTTCCTGCGAAGGCCAGCATTTAGGAGGACGTCATTTCATACTAAACGAGTAACAGCAACAGCGCATCATACGGGGAATATGGCCAGAAGTCATGAATACGTGTTGCGTAACTGCCCACTTTTTCCGGTGATAAAACGACTCGGGACGCAAATTCAACAAATGCGGCAGCTTGTTAATCTTTTTTTTAATGAACTCCACTTAATTTGTTATTTTCGAAGACTTATTCACCGTCACTGCCGATATTTCAGAATCCTCAGCACCTACAGTAGGTGACGCAAGTCATAAAACACTAGCCGGAATAGTAAAATGTTTTTTACCGCATAAAGAATTAATTAAATGCGGTTGTAATACTGATTATTATACAGCACAATCCCAATACGCACCAGGATGCCGACTTTTAAATTCACTACTTTCCGACCGTCCGCAAAAGCCGCACCCGATAAAAGACGACTACATGCTATTGATTTTCGACGCTCTGCAAATCCAAGGATATTCTATAAAAGCATGCACACATATCCCTCCTTGTAATCATTTCGTAGCAGATAACGTTTTCTCAAAATGTTATACTCGAGGAAAGGGTATGTTCTGGTTTCGAAAGACTTGTACTTTGAGATTCTTTAAGGCCGCGAAATGTCCATTAAAACGTTCTCCCAACTGTTTTTGTTAGTGCTGATTGTGAAGTATGCTACGTGTGGATGGCAATTTAGATTACGAGTAACACCACGCTAAGTAGGACGGAGTGAAATGCCGCTTACAAACACCCCGCTCAGCGTCCTCTTTTTCTGCCGTGTTAAAGAAGCAGACAACCTTGCATCTCGCTCCGCGATTTGTTTTTCGACCTCCAAAGCGTTTTTCCACCATCTCCAAACATCCCTCATGCGTGTTTTTTTTTCATACTTTTAGGTCGCTTTTCCTGGGCGAAACCTTCTCCTGTCACATTAATCTACACAACGAGAGTCTAATTGAATGTCGCAACGTCACCCTGAAGGCGAGTGTCTCTTCCTTCGCCTCCTCCTCCTTTTTCCTAGCCCTCTGAACCCCTAGCATGCTATTTGAAGTAATTTGCAGCATTATTAATGAGTATGCTGGATTTGTTGCATTCAGGCGAATCTCCAGCGCCAATTGGTGCAAAGTCTCACCTACAGTCGTGTTTTCTGCCACATGGCCGTAGCCCTGACTGACCTTAAGAAGACCACGTCGGGTAAAATTGACCAGGGATTTATGGCAACTGCTTCAGTACGTCTGCTAGAATAGAGTGAGTGACCGATCTCATGAAATGTTGGCTGAAATCCTGAAATACGTTTTCGACTATGAAGGATTACTTAGGCGCAGTTATAATACTGATTATCCTGCGGTATAATCCTATAATATTTCGGACTCGGCAGGATGTCAGCTTTTGAATACAGTGCTTTTCAAACTCCTGTAGTAACCATACTTGGTAAAATAACTGCTTAAGTGGCATTCACTTTCCCACTGATTTTCGATGGTCTTGAAAATTCAAATATATTTTGGAGAAAGCACGGACAACGTATGCTTTCTTTCAGTCGTTTGATAGAGAGTCACGTCATCTTTATATTTTATGCGTCTTCGATTAGGAGGGATTGCTTAGGCGTGGCTGTAGTACTGATTATCCTGCGGTATAATCCTATAATATTTCGGACTCGGCAGGATGTCAGCTTTTGAATACAGTGCTTTTCAAACTCCTGTAGTAACCATACTTGGTAAAATAACTGCTTAAGTAGCATGCACTTTCCCACTGATTTTCGGTGGTCTTGCAAATTCAGATATATTTTGGAGAAAGCACGAACAAAAATATGCTTTCTTTCAGTCGTTTGTTAGAGAACTACGCCATCTTTATATTTTATACTCGAAGAAGGTGTATAATTAGGTTTTGGTTTTAGTTTTCCAGTTGCCGAATAATTTGGAACCTGATCGGTCGTTGCACTAGGACTTAGTGATGTCCGTCTACAGGGTGTATGCGCCCCGCGTAAAGGAAATCACATACTCTTCTATGCCTTTACAAAGATATCATATAGAGTTCATGAAATTCTGCAATGGATCCGGACTATGATGTACATTTTATGAGAAACAGTGGTAAGCGGACAGGTGCGATGCTATATGAATGGGCATTGCGCGGTCTTAAAAAATCCCATAGTTAGAAACTCTTTTAAACCCTAATTATACTCCTTCTTCGAGTACAAAATATAAAGATGGCGTAGTTCTCTAACAAACGACTGAAAGAAAGCATATTTTTGTTTGCGCTTTCTCTAAGGTAAATTTGAGTTTTCAAGACCATCGAAAATCAATGGTGAAAGTGCATGCTACTTGAGTAATCATTTTTTACCAAGTATTGTTTGTACAGGAGTTTTAAAAGCAGTGTATTTAAAAGCTGACATCCTGCCCAGTCCAAAATATTATAGGATTATGTCGCAAGATATTCAGTCTTACAATCGCGCCTAAGTAATTCTTCCTAGTCGGAAATGCATTTCAGAGTTTCGGCCAACATATCATGAGATCGGTCACTCACTGTATGTTTGTTAATGACTGGTGTGTTTGTGGCTGAAAAACCATTCCAATTCGCCTGTTTTTGGGCCCACTTCGACTCTCAGCAACAGTGAACAGAAGCTGCGTCCTGCCTATAACTGCAGTATATCCTTGCTGAGAACGGGAATCGTGCACTGCATTGCCGGTCAGATATTTGACTGCGCCCAAAGCAGTGGTATGCGTAATGACGCGCTTAAATCTATCATGGGTGACTGAAAGCCGTGGCTTGGAAGGTTGCCCACTTTGTGTGAAATCCCGATGTGTTGTGCGGGAGCAGGGGCGTATTTGTGGCGCGCGCAGTCCTTACGCCTATTCCCCGCAACTGACCGGCTCGGGTAATCGACTGCTGCCTGGAAGGTAGAAGAGGCTGTGAAATCGAGTCTCGGCGCATATTCCTCAGTTCAAACAATCGGACCTGCTGGAATATACCACGGCTTGGAATGCTGCCAGCCGAGGAGGATAGCTCTGTCCTCTCAGAACTGACAGTCAAGTTCCAATGGCTCCTTAGTGTAATCTTCATGGCGCTCCCACCCAGTTGGGACCTCTTCTTGTGTGGAAACCAGGCGTGTGTGACTCACGTAGACGGACTGTTTAGCCATGTTGGCCACTGCATCCGATCCCGTCTCCTCTCTTCTTGGCTCTGCTTTGACAACGGGTCTGGGTGGGTGAGAAGGAGAGAGTGCTGTAGATGCGGCCAACTCTGCCATTGCAATAAAATGATTCACATACAGCTCATCCACCCTGTGTCCATACTTATGGACACGCCGGTAGTGACGGCTAAACTGTCGGCACGGGACTGACCTAGTTACCATTGCCAGCGCCCCTCTGATGGCCCGAATCGATCCGAAGCGAGAATGTCCTAACACGGAGAACCTAAGACATCAACTTGTCATCAGAGCTTCACGGACCACTGTTGGAAGATTTAAAGTTAAAGTGACTTATTCCTTCTCGCGCAATTGCGACGTTGTCAAATTGTGACCTAACTCACACCATCCTTGTTCGGCAAAACTAGTTACTCGGTCGGAGTAAGGTTGGCTTGAACTAAATCGGGAGTAGTACTAAGTGGACTGTCTCGACTACAATAGCAGTTCACCTACAAAGTTGGAGTGTCTGCGTAAATAATTTTTTTTATTCCGCAGATAAAGAGGAGCGTTAAACACAAGGTCATTTTAGCTTATTAGCCAGCCACTGAGCCACGGGCCCAAGTCTTCTACATGCTATCTAAGTAGAAGACGTGGAGTACCTGTCGCCTCACCGGACAAGATCAGAAGGAGGCCACTTACCCGTGGAGGTCCGTCCACGGAGCCTTCGTCGGCTTTCGTAAAAAGCATGTCGCAACTGCATGACATCGCCAGTGTTGCTGAAGCTACCATTGCCTCAAAAACCATCATGCAGAAAGTTCTGTGGCTCGCATTTCCTCACGGAGAGAAAGAAAGCTAAACTGACCTTTTCGACAACGCGCTTCTCAGATCCCATCACTTGCATTCGCGTATAGTTCACCCGTCTTGATCTGCGATTGTCACCCATGGAGCGTGTGGTTTGGTGACAAACTGGGATCAGTGACGAATCGTGCCAAGGGGGATGCGGTGTTCAAGCGGGTGTTTCCTGACCCTACGTGCGTATATACCCTTTACCCCGTCACTGCGCGTTAATAGCTGTTGCTTGGAGTGCTGCCAACTGACGGAATAGCCCGGTCCTTCTCACCCTGGGGGGCCAGGCTGCACGTGATCCCAGCTTATTGTGACCTCAATAGCACGTGGACTGAGAACTAGGTCGTTTGTGGCGCGTGTAGACGAGTTTTTAAGGTTTTGTCGGCCGCTGCGCTCGCACCCACCTCCAGTCGTCCTGACGCCGGGGTAAGGTGGGTGAGAAGAGAGGAAGTGTGGTAAATGTTGCACAACTAATTCAAGCGCAAGTCACCAGTGATGTTCCCACTACCTTGCGATGGTCGAACTGGTGTTTTAGGTGGTTTTAATGAATAGGAAACAGTAGTTGCCAGTGGTTAGCTCAACAGGGTATCTAGGAGTGCAGTGGTGCTGGGAAGTGAGGCCAAATTCCCGTTTCATTGGATTGAACTATGGAATACCAGAGCGTTAGGCTAGTCGGTGGATTTGTATAGACTGAGGTTGTGTATTGTTTCGAAGTCCGGGTAATTTGGTCAGCGGCGGCAGAAGTGGTTCATGGTGTAATATTAAATGTGTGGTGGTGAACGTGGCGATGTCCGAACAGGACGATTCCGATTTACAATATGTGCTTGCAGTACAGACAGGTTTGGAGCACTTTGCCGGCCTCTGCGATGCTCTTTGGTACAGTGTCAATATTTATAATGGTGCTGTCGCGACACATGCCATCGTGCCCGGCAGCGGTACCACGAGAAGTAAATTCCCTGCCAATAGAAGCGAAGAGACGAGTCCTAGGAAGTAGTCCTGAAGAAGGAGACATGATCACTGGGCAAGAGCTTTACTGTCCTGACGTTTCGGATTCCTACTCGAACCCATCAGCAGGTACGGGTGATTCATGCAAAAGGGGCTGCAGTATTTATAGGATGCAGTCGCCATACTACCGCATACCTATGAACATTCTCGCCCCCCCGCCCCCTTCATCCGGGATCGTCGCACTTTGTGTGCTAATTGTTTGTTGGCCGACATTCGCGTCGTTAATTGCTGCAATTTCATCACGTACGTGATGATAATC